ACAGTTTTTGTTAACAGTGTGATGAAGATTTAATGACCAAATTCAAGACATTGCCCTTTAGTTAATCAAGAAAATAGATTTTAGTGGGTTTGTTTTCCTGTATGCTCCACCCAGCCCCTGAACTCTGGAATGGGTCCTGTACATTGTGTACCCTCTGCTCTATACCATCAAACAGGACTTGCTTTAGAAGTTTGAATAAAAACACTGATATTTGACAGATCATCTGTCATCACCTCACTCTGACACCTGTTCTGAACTGGAATGTGGCCAAAATACTAAGCTTTACTGTTTTATGTCAGATTCCCAAGTTAATTTATCTTCTGACCAAGCTATACATTGCATATAAGTTATCTGAAACACACAAAGTCACTTTTTTTTTGTTTTTGCACACAATATGCATAGGTAAAAAAAAAACAGTAGGGCAAATTCTTCTTCAGTTTGCATGAACTGAAATGTTTCCTGGTACATGAGCTGGAATTTGAATGAAGTGGATCTGCATATTCTCTAAATTATATACTGTATGTCACCTGATTTTGCATACAAATGGGCAGAAAGTTTAGCATGCGCGGACATCCAGTGGCTCTTTACAATGGAATGTTAAACTTTCCAGCAGGCATTTGACATGGTGACTTTAAGATAACCCTCCTTACACTCATTTAGATTAGCTTGTGCATTGTTTCAATCTCAAAGCAATAATTTACCTTCCGGAGTGTTGCAGTTATCTTAAAGACCGGTCTAAACACAATATCCCAGCAATGCACAGTGAGAGGACTCGCAAATCTTTAAAATATTCAAAACTATTTTACTTAATAAATAATGAAATACAAATTCTGTGTATGTTGGGTGAAAAAAATGCCAGTTTTTCTCATTCACTCATTCCCACCGCCTAGTGGATAAACTGATGTACTGAAGCTACATTATATTACATAAAATTACAGCTTGAAGGATTTTTTTTATCTACAGTACAAAATATACATCCTCTTTCTCAGTCTTTATTTTGTTATTCCCCTAATCTAACTGTCATATTAAAGAAATTTCACTTCGCAGTGTATGGGTGCCATCAGAATGAGAGACCAAACAGCTGATAAAAACATCACAATAATCCACAGACGTCCAAATTCAATGTTTAGGTGTTTGAACTTTAAACCTTTGCTTCTGGCAAAAATATGAGTACAAGCATGCAGCTTTTCACTTCACAAGATGTTAAATGATCGAATGCTTTTATCAGCTGTGTGGACTCAAAGACAATGCACATTTGACACATTCTGTTTGCACAAATTAATTAGTCAAATAGTTAAAGGTTTGTTAATGTATGTTAATGCAGTCTTCTTACCAGTGTTATTCATACCAGTGTGAAATTTCCACATGCTCTCAATTGACCTGTATGTCAACAGAGCTCAATCACTGCCTTCATTTGGGCTGGGGAACAAAGTTTACCCATCCCACAGTCAATGCATCCAAAACAAACAGCCTCTCAGGGTGCAATCAAAAACACATACCATGATCTCGACACCTTACTGTCTGACTTGAGTATGCACAACTTGCATATGCTTGTGTCGCCTCTTTGGACCCCACAGGTAGTTTTAGCAGTGGTAGCAGTGGGGCCTCCATATAGAGAATCTGTGATGTTAAGAAAGATCCTACTCGTGTGTGCCATCTGGAGAGGAAGGGAACGCAAAAAAGAAAAACAAATGTCTAGTGTTATAAGGGGCTCTGAGAAAACAGTCTGGCCACAGAAAAAGAGAGAGAAAAAAGAGAAAAGAAAACAGTAACGTTTCTTTATTTGAATTCACACTTCCCATGGTGATATGCGTAACACTTTTTGCCAAATGAAAATTCAACATAATTGGTATTTGGCATTTCCTACATTAGTATTAATATTTTATTTAAATATAAAACTGAATGTGTTATGTTTTGCAAAAGTATCAAGTGAAATGCATAACAAACCGAGGAGATATGCTTAATATGTGAATGCAAAATGCATAATTTAATGAAACAATTAAAAATGCATAAATTAATTTGAGCAAAATAACCATTTAAATGTTGCTTACCATATATGCTTCCTCATTAATCATTTTAAATAAAGCACTGAGCACTTACAGTAAATATGCTATTTTGGTTTTTTGCTTCATTGTTGGATATCTTCAGCATTTTAAATTTGCTTCATGATTCATATTGCTTATTAATTTCTAATATCCTTCAAAAGATCTGCACACAGTTTTCTGAAGGACTGTTAACAGCTTCATACTTCATTAGGGTGACCATGGGTGCCATTTTCCCCGGACGCGTCCTGGCCAGGATTTCTATATTTCTTTGATTCAAAGTACCTCGAGAACATAAGGAACCGATGTCATACACCGATCGGTCTGCACACGCAAACAAAGCCAAACCCTAGATCAGGGTTCCTCAAATCTTGCCCTGGAGGGCCAATGCACTGCAGAGTTTAGCTCCAACCCTGATCAAACTCCCCTACCTGTGATTTTCTAATGATCCTGAAGACATTGATTAGCATGCTCAGGTGTGTTTGATTAGGGTTAGAGCTAAACTCTGCAGGAAAGTGGATCTCGTGGGCCAGATTTGAGGATCCCTGCCCTAGATATTTTAGGCAATATAAAAATCCTGGCCAGGATGCGTCCGGGAAAAAATGGCACCCTATACTTCATTATGTAATGCCCATCATCTGTAATAAATTACAAAGGAACAAATATTTTTTGTTGCATGGAATGTGCTGGAATTTGAAAAGCTTTCCTTGTTTACAACAGTAAAAGCACATGTGCCAGAAGTTTAAGTTTAACGGCCTGATTGCTCGCAGATTTACTGTTAATCAGCCGCATGGAAGAAGAGCCAGAATTCCATGCCAGGGCAAACGAGATATACTGGCATCTCTGCTGTGGTCCAACTTGAAGCAAGCTTTTAATAAGCACTTAGATAAGAGAGTGTGCAACTGGCATGTAGCCTATTACACAACATCGCATGTTAAAAAAAACACTTTGGCCATGTTAGATCAGGATACACTGACACTGAGAATGTCAGCTTTTAAAATAAAAATAAGAATTAGCATCGCAACCAAAGTAGACGTGAAGAAAACTGCATACATGCATGAGGAAGGGAATCAACTTTAGCGCTGCAAAATTATAAACAAACCCAGGGTGGAAACAGCGACCTCTTCAGGCCGTTCTAAGACACTGCAGGCTGGCGTCTCTGCTGTCAGTATTCAGTGGGAGGGTAGACAGCAGCAGCCCCGGAGCTAAAACCAACGTGACAGACCAGAGTCTCAATAACACCACCCGAACCGAGAGCAGCAGTTCCAGAGAAACCTTAATACTGCATATGGAGACTACCAGTTGTCATTTGTCGACTGCTGCATTAGGATAACGATTCAGCCGGCTCGACAGCAGCGTCCGCGAACCGCGGTGGATGTTGTTGCATTGTTCACGTGAAAGGAAGAAAATCGCTGGTTTGCAGCGGATCCGCGTGCCGTCGGTTGTTGATTTCTCATAATGTTTTATCACGGGATACATCGTTACGCTGGATACCGAATTGATTAGTCACTGCATCACGCTGGATTCAGCAGCCCCGTTTTGACCTCGGCCTGTAGAGCAAATATGCTTAGCGCGATGAACGCGTAGCTGTGCTACATTTATGGCATTTATATTTTCTGACCATTCGGTCCTCTAGCCGTGATTCTTTTGGTCTTTACAACTATTCGGCGATTACCTCTATTAAATTATTCGCTCGGTCAACTCAAGCAACTGCAGCTGTCGCTTTGTCTACACCAGAGGGGAATGGAGATGACGATACGAAAGGTAAAAGCAGGCCAGCCTCCTATTTTTCTTTATATAGCTGGTTATAAACCTCAGCTTGTTTATTATGGGTTGACAGGCATATGATATGAAATGCCCATTGTATATTATAGGCTGGTATGTCGTATTTTGCGTCTGTGTGTTCGTACGCGCTTCCTGTTAAAAAACGCGATTAAACGCGCGCGGCGTTATTTTAAGAATGAGCTCGAGACCCGGAGAACTAACGTTCGCCGTTACTTGGCAACTTTTTAAAAGCATCGCTGGAAACTTTTAATCATTTAAATGCGTCATAAATGCAAAATACGACAGAAATCGACTGGGTTGTGTGCTTGTCTTTGCTGGAGAATTGCGCAAAAAAAAAATAATAATAAAAAAAATCCCCCCAAATCTCAGCTTGCCACCCCGTGTAACCAGGGCGACCCGTCTCCATTACATGGTTTAGTTTTGTTGACATTTTGAGGCACAACATTTTATTATTATTATTATTTTTTTTTATATATATATATATATATATTTATACGATTGAAACTGAACACCTGACGAAAGCCCAGCAGTCACACGCACAGAAAACCGAAGTTAGCAAAAGGTTTCGAAGTCGAAGTAGCTTATGTTTGCTTTTAATGTCAACCTTTAGCTCCTTCAAACGTAATACTGAAAATTTAGTGCTGTTTATATGTCTTTAGTTGAAACGTAGGCTAATATTTATTATTTCTAAGTGAAGTGGTGCTGTTATTATAATTGTTAAAATGCTTATTAAAATGGAGAACGGCTTTTGAACCAGGAAAAATAAACTTGAGTGTGCAATTAATATGTCTTTATATGTCTCTTGCAGTAAACCTGGACCTGGTTTTTGGGTTTCGGAGCCAGGTCTCCTGCACTCTGAAGGTCTGAAGAATATCAAGGCTCTTGCCCTTTCCCTCTTGCGGTCCCTTATGCCCAATGACGGCTGTCTCCGGGTCACTGCAGGATGGATGAAGTGGATCTGACAGTTTTTGTCTGTCACCATCAGTGCTTGCCTCTCAGTGACTGTGTCTTGTTCTTTTACGTTTATAAAAGAACACCTCCTCTCTTGGGCTCTGGCCCCTTACACTGTAAGAGTAACTGTTAGTAAGGAATACCCCACGGAGGGGGCCTTCCAGCAAACTCTGTGGTTCACGTGAGCTTTTATTACTTTTTTCATAGGCCTTTCTTATGCCCAATGACGGCTGTCTCTGGGTCGCTGCAGGATGGATGAAGTGGATTTGACAGTTTTTGTCTGTCACCATCAGTGCTTGCCTCTCAGTGACTGTGTCTTGTTCTTTTACGTTTATAAAAGAACACCTCCTCTCTTGGGCTCTGGCCCCTTACACTGTAAGAGTAACTGTTAGTAAGGAATACCCCACGGAGGGGGCCTTCCAGCAAACTCTGTGGTTCACGTGAGCTTTTATTACTTTTTCTCATAGGCTTTTTTTGTGCCGCAGAAAGAAGACATTTTTGCAGGTGAAGGTTTACATTTGAGTTTTTTTCATAATAATTTATTTATAAATGTAATTTTTTTTTCCTGGAGAGATGTCGTCGGAAAATCCCAACAAGGTGGTGACCTTCTTGGCCCCTCCACCTCCAAAGAATGTGAATGGCTCCGGTTCGGACTCACTGGTGGGTGAGAAGCTAGACACGGAGGTCAGAAAACGACGCCACACCATGGATAAAGATCTGAAGACGGCTGAGCACAGATTTTTTAGGCGTAGTGTCATCTGTGACTCCAATGCCACAGCCCTCGACTTGCCCAGCAAAGCCTGCATCCTCAACTCGCCTCCGGACTGTGAGCAGTTTGTTGTGCCTGCAGTGCTGGGTTCGGCCCCTGATGTTACCATTGACACCCAAGTGGGTGTTTCGGGTGTCCTATTGGAAGAACATGCAGAGGATGGAAGAGCTGCTGGGGTTGATGGGATTGTGGAGGTACAGAGCCCATCTGTGCAGGATGTGGGTGTGAGGCAGATCGAGGCCCTTGGGATGGCAGAGACGGAGCCCAGCGATGTGGGTGACAAGGAGCAGGAGAGCGGAGTAGCAGACAAACGTGAAGAGGAGGAGAGAGGGGTGGCGAAGGCCCGTGCTGAAGCTGAGCAGAGGGAGGCTGAGAAAAAGGTTCAGGAGGACGAAGAAGTGGAAACCAAAGCTGTGGGCACCTCACCTGATGGGCGTTTCCTCAAATTTGACATCGAGATTGGACGCGGCTCGTTCAAAACCGTCTACAAGGGTTTGGACACGGAGACAACGGTGGAAGTAGCGTGGTGTGAACTTCAGGTAAGAAGCTACCATGTTATCAACCTCTGCAACAGTGTTCAGCCTTCATTAATTGCAGAAGATGCCTTTGTTGTTTGATGTGAACACTTTTTGCGGTTGACCAAAGGCTTGAAAATGCTCCTGTGAAACACAACAGTAAGATCGATTCAAGAAAGAGTGCCAGACTTACAACAGGAAGTTAGGTTGGTGTAACTTGTTTATGCCATTTTGTGGTCATGGTTCTTATGGTGCCCCTACAGGATGTGGGTGAAGAACAACTTTGGTGAAGTTTTAGGTTAGGCCCAAAACATAGGCCTATTGTATATAGGTGATCCTGTCATGGATGGTCTTGTTGTACATGCTTATTCAGACAGTTAGCTGTGAACATGCCGACATGTTAACCAACTGAGTCAGCAAAGTTCTCTTCAAACCGTTGCTCTGCCATTACAGTGGTTGACATGAAAGACAAAATGAAGATATTTTTACGCTTGTACAACCTATAGCACCGCTTGCAGCAATGCTGAGAATGCAAAGCACAATTGTATTGTCATATGAATTCCTGATAAAGTCAAACTTGCATATCAGGAAGTTTTTACATTCATATTTTTCTTGAATGCGGATGTTAGCTTGATTTATGTTGTTCATAGTTGCATTCAAAAATGTGTCAGACTGCAAATTTAAAATGTGAACTTGTTGCATTTTCAGCACTGCCACAAGGGGCACTATCGTGTTAGCGCAGTGGTTTTCGATCTTTTTGAACCGAAGCCCCCTGAATTTCTTTTTTTGTGTGTGTGTGATTCCAGAAGTTTCAAGAACGGCATGTTCTTCAATAAATTATTTTAATATTAATACAAAGTATATTAATAATAATCTTTTAATTTAAATAATTTTAGGTAATTCTGCGGCCTCCTTGTTGAGAACCACTGCAAGTTTTTGCTTTTGACTGTCATGGCAGAGCGTGTTAGTTAACGTCAATATGTTAACAATAACTTACCTAAATAATAACATATCTGATTTAATGGCACAGACACCTTGAAGACTGAGGTTTGTTACTTCCATACCATTGCAAGATTTTACTTTGTTCAACATGACAGAGCTATTTTAGTTTCATACCATGAGTAGAGTTACATTAGGCCAGAATTTTCTTTTTTTCTTTTAATAACACCTTGACATCTAAATCTGACAAATTGGGTCTTGGCAAGTGAAACTCAGTTGAATCTCATTACATACAGGCTAGAGTGTTTCCTCTAAATATCACAAGACCCTCTGTGTTTGTCCTGGTATCTGGTTTCTACTCAGTATGGGCCTTTCGTGGAGCAAGTATAACTGCACACCGATAAAGATGGATTGTTGTTAGTTGCCTGGTGAAGGTCCATGTGCATAAACTGAACTGTTATACACACCGGTCAGACTGATAATCAGACTATTAGTAATTCCTCCCAAGATCTCATAGATTTAAAACCATACATAAACATGTCAAAGCACATACGGATGAAAGTGTGCAAAATATGCAGTGCGGGTGGGGTGGAAGACTCTGGAATGTAAGCGCGGATGGTGTCAGTGACGTCACATCGATGCTGCCAGGATGAGGGGATTTAACCGATGTGCATTGGTGAAAGCAGAGTAGCATTCACAATTTCTTCTTTCTGGTTCTTGTTCATTCTCTCATTTTCACTCTAACATTCCCTTACCCAGTTTATTACCCTAATGGTGTGTAAGCTGCTCCGCATCCACTTCTCCACACACCACACATCACACATCACTCTTTTCTTCATGAGCTTTTCCAGCAATGGAAACCGCTTACAATTAGTTGTCTAAACACATGCACACACACACTCACACAGGGTCTTATGTCCATACATTGACTCACTTCACAAATGTATACTCTGATCTAGATGCAAGTTGTTGGCATGCTGAGGTTTTTGACCCTAAACTATTTAAAACCGTGCGGCTTTCGCACCATCAGCCTTATCACCACATGCTAGCTGTGAGATATCACAGTGCAGGAATTTGTGCAGGAGGTGCCTTAACTCCGGGTCGGTTTAAAAGAGACATGCCCCAGAGAGAATGTCATCATCTGTGAATAATGCAGAGGATGTTAGGGGAACAGTTGAGGAAGAAATCCAATCCCATGGATCCCAGCCACAGCCGTTTCCCTTTTCATTGTTGAAATCCATTTTTTTTCCAAAGGAGTGAGAAAGACAAAGCCAGGAGCAATGCTTCCTTCATTTGCAAGCACTGATCTCCTTCCTCGTTTACAGTACTGGCCCGTGTGTATGTGTGTTTATCCATTGTGTCTTACACGGGCTGGAAGAAAAAAAGATGTCATCGTAAATGGAAATATACTGAGGGCCATTGTGAGATGCTATCTGATTGGCATTAAGTTTCACTTGCACTGTTTTATCTTTCTTAATGTGAATCTGATGTTTTTTTCCAAGATAATCTTTTTTTAAACCTCTACAGTTACACAATGACAGAAAAGTGTATGCAAAGCAGAAAATGTGTGCATACTCTGACAGCTCTTTGCTTAAAGAGGTTCTTTCTTGCTTTCAGCTCAAGTTTGGAGGCTGTTGCGGTTTCACTTCTCACTAGATTCATAATCTATTTCTTACAACTGAGTCTGTCAGTTCCCCTCACCCTCTCTCCATGTGATAACTTGATATTTGCTCTGTGAAGTATTTGAAACTTTTGAGGCATTTAATTTTTTACCATGACATTGTTGAATTACCTGTTTTTGCAGCTTATTGCCTGCATAGTAACTCTTTAAAAGACCAGATCCACTGTAAATACTTCACAGGTAACATAAAGCAGCTTGTACTCCTCCCAAAAGAATGCGTAATCTCATGCAGCTGCTTGTCTGTCTCTGACATGGAGTTTTTTTTGCTTGCTGAGACTTGTTGAAGCCCTCTCCTGCAACTTGGGCTCATCTCCTCTTTGAGATCCTGGTCTATAGCATGTGATATGTAACAGTATAATTCAAGTTTTAAGACTTGTGAGGAAAATCTGGTTTGATCTCTTGCAGACTTTCTTTGTCACCATTGTCTCTCTGTGCCTATGGTTTTGTACGTAGTGTAAGTGTGTTAAAGGTCACAATGGGAGGGCAGTAAATTCCTCACGTTTCACTGCTCACCTCAGCCCCTTGTCCTAACTGCCCCTCATTTTATTCAATAAGCCTCTTAAGATGCTGTTTACACGCGCACACACACACACACACAAAGTGCTTTTACCATTCAGTCTCGCCCTCAATTACCTTCACCCTACTGACCCCATTTGTTCTCATTTAGAGGTCGACCGACATGGGTTTTTCACTGGCCGATGCAGATATTTAGAAATCAGGGCAGCCGATGGCCGATATATGATGCCGATATATTTTTTGTAGGGATGCACCGATATGAACATTTTGGCCGATACCGATAACCGATTATTCTTTATTTTTGAAAGCCGATAACCGATATGTTGGCCGATAAATCTATATCCAAATTGTTATATATTTTTTGAGAGCCTGATTACAAAAAAGGTCTCATCATTAAAAGTCACATCCCAAACACTTCAACATAAGCAGCCTAGTTTGAACGGTGTACATTTTAAAAATATTTTTACTCTCCCATTACCAAATTTAGTCAAAGTCTTACAAATAAATAAAATAATGCATAAATAATGCAAACAAGTCACTGGACATCATTACACGTGTAAAGAATCAAAATGAATGCGCCACAGATAAATAAAACAGAATAGCCTCTGCACGGACAATAATTAAATGATTTTAATTACTAAACCATATTGTTGATGAAAATAATAAGAGAAAAATACAAGTGGTTGTTGTTATTAATAATATATCAATGATTTTGAAAAAGTAACAAATTAATACCACTGTTTTAAATAGCAGCCGTTGAGCTGCGCGTGCTGAAGCTGAAGAGCTGAATGAACACGGTAAACTGAAGCATTTTGCTGGCAGCTTATTTAACTCAAGGAAATGCATCCTGAGATTAATATTAATACAACATAAACATAATATTACAACTTATATATGAAATGACAAATGACGCAGTTATTGCATGCTATAGTCAGAATGTGTGATCCTGTTGTGGATGCGCGCTTAAAAAACATGTCAAAATTAAGTGAGTTTTTGCTTAGAACAAACACAATAATCTTATTTCAAACAGAAAACAAGATTATTTTGTTTACCCCATTGGCAGATTATTTTGCTTGTTTCAGGCAAAAACTCACTTAATTTTGACATGTTTTTTCTGAAAACCAGACAATAATTTGTCCTTCTTGATTTAAGAATTTTTAGATATTCTGGCTGGAAACAAGACAAAAAAAACATTTTTTTTTTTGCAGTGCAGGATTTACAAACTGGAAAGAAAGATTGCGGAGAATGCTTTTATCAGCAATACTAGCTAGTTATTACAAACCTGTGTTATTTTAGTATTGTGGTAGCAGTTTACAATAATATTCTGTTTGTTAATATTAATTAACTGCATAGTAAACATGAACTAAGAATGAAAATACTTCTAAAACCTTCATTAATCTTAGTTAATTTCAACATTTACTAATACATTATTAAACTCAAACGTCGTATTTGTTCATATTGTTTAAAGGACCTGAGCTAACATGAACTAACAGTTGTATTTTTTAGGGATGCACGATATATCGGCCACCAGATCGGTATCGGCCCATATCTGCTCATTTTTTCTGTTATCGGTATCGGCCTGATAAGAAAATTTGGCCGATATCTTAAAGCCGATAAATAATGCATTATTTCCTTCAGAGACACTTCAGATGCGCGCTGTTCGTTTGCAGCCTTTTGTGCAATTGTACGTTGTAATATTGTGTTTATTTGATGTATATCTGATTTATCTCATATAGAATGCGTTTGGTTAAGTTAAAAGAGCGCTTCAGTTTACCGGTGATCATCTTTAGCTCAGCGCACGCAGCTCAAACAGCAGTGCACAACATTAATAACTATGATTGGGAATGTCGTGTATATAACATTCTAATGAGAACATTATTATAATAAA